TATCCCCATGGTCAAGTGATCAAAATTCAGGTACTTGACAACTGAGTCATACTTATGACAGTTGCAGTGCCCCAGGGTCACCTTTTGCAACTTCTTACAAGCAAAGTCAATAGGGAAGCTAGATTCAAGTAACAATCGTGTTACCAAATTAACAACTTCAGTGAGTCTTTTAACAAATGTGACAAGAAAGGTTGTAAAATGGGGCAAAATTCACTTAACAAATGTTTCACAGAGCAACAGAAATTTTGGGCTCAATTGTAAGTCGAGGACTATCTGTACCATTGTGGCTTCAGGAAATGTTTTTCATCAGTAACTACAGTAACTCGCTTTGGAGTTCTAATCATCTGGCATCTAATTACAGCCTTATAAATACTATACGGTTTTACTGGCAACAATATCCAAGTACTTTCTGACTACCTTCTTCCAGGCATGATTTACTGTATATTTCCTCATGCTTCATTTCTTCTCACTCCTGCTGCAGATTGCTCTTAACTTTAATAACGATAAAGTTGCAAGGGACCTTGGAGGTCATCTAGTCCAACCCCCTGCTCAGGCAGGAAACCCTATATCATTTCAGACAAATGGCTGTCCAGTCTCTTCTTAAAAACTTCCAGTGTTGGAGCATTCACAGCTTCTGGAGGCAGGTTGTTCCACTGGTTAATTGTTCTAATTGCCAGGAAGTTTCTCCTTAGTTCTAGGTTGCTTCTCTCCTTGATTAGTTTCCACCCATTGCTTCTTGTCCTGCCTTCAGGTGCTTTGGAGAACAGCTTGACTCCCTCTTCTTTATGGCAACCCCTGAGATATTGGAACACTGCTATCATGTCACCCGTAGTCCTTCTCTTCGTTAAACTACTAGACATACCCAACTCCAGCAACTGTTCTTTAGCCTCCAATCCCCTAATCATCTTTGTTGCTCTTCTCTGTACTCTTTCTAGAGTCTCAACAACCTTTTTACATCATGGTGACCAAAACTGGATGCAGTATTCCAAGTGTGGCCTTACCAAGGCATTGTAAAGTGGTATTAACACTTCACGTGATCTTGATTCTATCCCTCTGTTAATGCAGCCTAGCACTGTTGGCTTTTTTGGCAGCTGCAGCACACTGCTGGCTCATATTTAAGTAATTGTCCACTAGGACTCTTGAGATCCCTCTCATAGTTGCTACTACTGAGCAAGATGCCACCTATACCCGTGGTGGCAAACCTATGGCACGCATGCCACAGGTGGCACGCAGAGCCCTCTCTGTGGGCACACGCACCATCGCCCCAGTCCTAGGCCTTCAGCTGGGTTTTATAAAACCTTTTTGCTTTAGGCCTCCGCCGCTGTGTGCAAAAAAAAAAAAAAAAAGAATCAATTTCAACTTCTTGCGGGGAAAAAAAAGATCTTGCAAAGTTGGGATTGATTGATTGAACTTTTTAGTCCCACCCAGTCTGCCGTTACCACCACAGCCACGCCCATCCAATGGGCCATGCCCACCCGGCACCCGAAGATACATAAGTGGGTTTTGGGCTGCAGTTTGGGCACTCGGTCTCTAAAAGATTCGCCATCACTGACCTATACTATACCTGTGCATTTGGTTTTTCTTGCCTAAATGCAGAACCTTACTTTTTTCACCACTGAATTTCATTTTGTTCAATGTTCAAGTCTGTCAAGATCCTTCTGTATCTTAAGCCTATTTTCTGGAGTATTGGCTATTCCTGCCAGCTTGGTGTCGTCTGCAAATTTGATGAGTTCCCCATCTATCCCCTCGTCCAAATCGTTGATGAAAATGTTGAAGAGCACTGAGACCAGAACAGAGCCCTGGGGCACCCCACTACACGCTTCCCTCCATGTAGCTGCAGTTCCATTGAGGACCACATGCTGAGTACGGCCGGTCAGCCAGCTACGAATCCATCTGGTGGTGATGCTATCTAACCCACATTTTTGTATCTTATCTAGTAGTAGGTTGTGGTCTACTTTACTTATTTATTTTTTTTATTTATTTTTATTTTATATTTATATTTATATCCCGCCCTTCTCCTTACGGACTCAGGGCGGCTTACAACCAGATAAAAATACTATCAAACTACAGATTAAAAATTTAATTAAAAGGCAAATATTAATAATTGGTCTAATTAAAATTATTTTAAAACCCCCTCTAAAAATTTCCCCTTATGAAAAGCTTCCTACAGTATTTGAGGTTGTTTTAAATTCATCTTATTGACTTCTTTATAAATTTATCTTATTGACTTCTTTGTAAATTTATTGGATTTTGTATTCATACTCTATTAACTATGAAGAGTAGCTGTGATTGGAAAGGCAAGATATATATTCAATAAAATAGTTGAAACTCAGTGCATGGAGCAGCTTTTGCTAATTTTACCAGTTAAGCACCATGTATACTACAGAAGGGGGCAAAATCAGAATGCTCTAATCTGGGTTACTATAAATATTTCAGACTATAAGAACCATAGATTTCAACCAGCAAGGATAAAAATGCCGACACAGCCGAATAAAGTTTGTTCAACACATACTTTGGGTTTCAAATTGAGAAAGGATAACTATGTTCTACAATAAAGTTTTTATAAATCTTACTCAAATATAATTAAAACTATTTAAAAAGCTCTTAGCAATTGTAAGGCAATTGCTAGATGTAACAGCTTTTTAGCCTTCAAGTGCATCATCTAGAATTCCTTATTCAAGAATTGTTTCCATTTTAAGACCAAAAGCAACTCTTTGTATTTGCTTTAAGTTTTATTTTTATAATTTATGCTGAATTTTAATATTGTTCAGTTTTATTATACAGTATTTATTTTTGCCTTCTGGCAAGTTGGTTGAAATTTTACATTTAACCTTTCCTAATGGTTAATTTTAGTATGTTGTTACTTTATATGCAGTTTAATGGATTTTTTTATATTGTGTGTTTAACCTTTTGTACTTTTGAAAGTTGCCAGATCCTGCCTCTCAAGCTTCATTTTTGAAGCAAAACCAGGCCTAATTTCTGTATGCTATTCTGTATCTAGTTTCCACTCAATTTAACAGTACAAGAAATAAGATTTTTATAAAAGATAACTTCCCTGGGAGGACAATTTTGAAAAAAATGAGAAACAATAACTTAACACATGAAGGAAACTGACTTAATTTCTAATGCAGCTGATGCCATATTTTCTGTCTGTTCCAAGAAAACAGGAAAGTTAGATTCCTGAAGAAACAGATAATTCTTAAACTAGAGGCAACAAGGTGTTCTGCATCCCTATGCTAAATCACACCATAGTTATTTAATGTCATAAATTCTGACATTTCCTCTTCTAATTACTGAACTATATACAGTATTCAGCACAAGATACACTGCAGTGCCTTTCATTCATCAGATATTACCATTCAACTAGCTATCTGGGAGTTCTCATTTTTAATACACAGATTCTAAATCAAATCTGGCCACAAAATACATTGAAGCATTTTCACTAGATAGGAAAAAAAAAGATAACTTTCTTGGACACAGGCTGGGGGCAAAGAGATAGTACCAGACAGTGCAAGGCCAGGCAAATGCAAAGATGTAGACTTTTTTACTCGTATTTGTTTGGCCAGAAAATGTCAGAGCCTAACGTAAATGAGATTCCTCTCAATGAGCCATGGCTGCCAGGGGCAACATTTCATGGATTTATCCAGCATTGTAGTCGTGGAGGCTTATCCAGTTTATTGGTCTGCGTTACTATATAATCTTCCGGGGAGAGTTGATCAAAACTGATACAGTACAAACAAGCTGATTCATAAAGCCACGGAAGAGAGGCGTTGACACCCTTTTCACAGACAAGGCAGGGCACTCGCTTGTCCGACCGAACTGGCCACAAGCCATGCACAGAGAACAGGGCCCGTCTTTCCAGCACACCCTTGTTGGCTCCGCTCCTTGCATCTTATTCCGCCCCCTCCGTACTAAGGAGCCAAAGGGATTCAAACGAGACCCACACCCGCATCGTCCCTAGTGATATATATCTAGATATATATCTATATATATCTATATCCTCTCTCTCTCTTTATATATCTATATATATCTATATCCTCTCTCTCTCTCTCTCTNACTGACCCCTGCGCTCTCCCCGCCAATGAAGCCCCTTTCCCACAGCCCGACTCCGCTCCGCTCCGCTCCCTGCCGTTACCTCATATCTATCGGTCTCGGGTGTCCTCCTCGCAACCTCGGCCAGGACGGAGGGCAGACGGCTGAGCAGCAAAGGCCATTGCCTCCGCGAGACGGACCATTCCCTCCCTCCCGCGCCCGCTGCTGCTGTTGCTACTGCTGCTGCTGCTTTAACCGCCGCCGCCTCTTTAGAGTCACCGCCGTCTCGGGGAGAAAGGAGGGGGAGGGGGAAGAGACCTGCCTTCCCGGCTTCTTCTCTCACACACACACATATTACTGCGCAACGCGGAGAGAGACCAATCCCCCGGACAGCCAACCGCGTTTTCGTTCGGCCACAGATCCCGCCCCTTTTCGAAATGACGGACACCCCCTTTCGCCAGTAGGGAAGGCGGAAATGCCGCCCAGTTGATCGCTGTAAGCGCTGATTTATACGATGCCCGAGGGAGTTTTTGAGTTTGCACGTATTCTTACGGCGGCAAAACGGACGAAAATTAGCAGTGGTGAATGTGGGAAAAACGATCTTAAGAAAAAAGGTATAGGGCTGAGCTTCCAGCCCCGGGAAAGTCATTAAAAACTTCTTCTTTTTCTATCAGAAAAAAAGCACACGTAATCTCGAACACCATTCAAACCAAAGCACTCGGGTTTTCACGTGTCCGCTCTTGACTTTTCCCACCCTTCAGCAATTGGAGAGGCGCTGCGTACTGAAACCAGATGACTCGCGTTACGCAGAGTGCCGGGAAATGTAGTCATTTTAATTCAGAAAACTCAAAAAGCCGTGAAACGCTCGAGGCAACTCTGAATGGAAGATTCTTGCCGTGTGGTCCCGCCTTTGCTTCGAGTGACGGCTGGCTCGACCAATCGACAGTTGCCTTTTCAGGGAACCCTTATTTGTAGGATTTAGCAATCGACGTTTCCGCTCCCGCGAGAATAAAAGAGGGGCCTCAACGAGGTAATGGGCTTGGCGAGAGAGTCGCGGACTCTTTTTCTCGCGCGGGTGAGGGGTGCTAGACGTGTGAACGGCAGGGAGTGCGTGTTGCGGGGCAGCTGTACAGTAACCGTGTTGTCCGTTGTCTCCTTGATTGCCCCGTAGCTCTGCAGGAGCTCTACACGCTTCGTTTCAGCTGTGCTTGAAAGAGTTGCAGACTCTTGAAACTGAACCTGTAACCATCCCGTAATAACTGATAAGCCAAATCTGTTACGTGTTGGTTCCTTCTGAAAAATTAGGCGCAAAAAAACATTGTTTTAGCTAATCAGGATTCACCTGCTACGCTAAGCTGTAACGTAAACGGTTTACCCTTCGCTTACAATCTGGCATGATTGGTTTGGTATATAGTATATTATGTGAATTCGGGTTTTATGGTTTGTAAACCACGGTTGGGTGTTAACTATTTAATTCAGGATCAAAGCACAGAGTGATGTATAAATTCAGATGCTGAATGGTTTTGTATAGTAACCCAAATATAAACATTGGCCCTAATGAAGTAAACAAAGGCTGCACATACACAATGGATTAATTAATCTGTGAATAAAGTAACTGATTTATTCAAACCTATTTTTGAGTTATGGGATATCCTAAAGCCTGTTTTTATAGTGCTGAGCAGATTTTACAGATTTCTAAAGCAAAATACTATTAATTGAGGAGGGAAATACGAGTAATTTTTTTTTCTCATAGTGAAGAAAATGAACTTTGGATCTATTGCTATGTTGCTTACTATTGCCATTTTGAAAGGGATAATACTGATGCAATAGTTTTCTGAATGAAACAAATTGTTTGGATTTGCACAACAGGAAACCATAAATGTACCATGTTGGATGTATTGTGCAGCACACTGAATCATAAACTAATCACAGCTGCATTTTTATAACAGTTGATTTTGAGAGAGGGACAGCTATACAAATTTGATAAATAAAATAAACAGCACCACAAACTATAATTCAACGAGGAGGTATCATAATTTTTGTGAGCATGTTATTCAACCTAACCGATGTCACATAACAATTTGGCATTCGTTTTTGAATGGGAAGTAATACAGAAATGCCACCTCTTTTACCTTCATATCTAATAGGTTAACATCCACAATCTTTTTTGGGGGGTAAAACTTAAGAAGTTTACCAAAACTTACCAAATTTTTAGATAGAAATTGTTTAGGGCAGTGGTTCTCAACCTTTTTAATGCCGTGACCCCCAACCGGTCGTAAGGGGAGGACTAAACCGGTCGTAAGGGGAGGACTAAACCGGTCATAAGTCGGGGACTAAACCGGTCGTAAGTCGAGGACTACCCAACCAGTCGTAAGTCGAGGACTTTCCCTGCCCGGGAGCGCCGCGCATGCGTGGTTCCGCCCCCTGCGCCGGCCGAGAGCTGGCAAGCGGCAGAGACAGAGCAGGCCGACCACCAGCTGGCCCAGCCCAAGGGAGGTAAGGCACCCGCCGGAAAAGGGGGAAAAAATGGCGGACAAAAAAAATGGCGGACAGCCTTGCTTGGCGACCCCCGTGAAATGGTCGATCGACCCCAAATGGGGTCGCGACCCATAGGTTGAGAACCGCTGGTTTAGGGTCTACTATATCTGACCTGAAAATTTTCTAACATCTGAGGGATTTTATTTTCTTCTCTGAATTTTAAAGATCACTATGAAAGGCTTATATTGGCAGCAGAATTCTGAAAAAGAAAGAGAGTTCATCTTCCTGGAAAAGGTGAGTTACATTGCTATCTTACACATCCGTTCAGAATTCTGTATTTGATCAGGGACTGATACTTTCACAGTGTTAAATTGAACAATATATCGAGCCACCTAAATCGGGTCCGTGGACAGGTACCGGTATCGGCATACCAGAAACCGGACCATACAGAGATGTATACTGTATTTTTGGTGGATAAGGATCCTAGAATAACTCTTGCAATAGCTAAATGTTTAATTGTAGACTGTAGAATTTTGCTTTCTTAATAGCAAAATAGATTAAGCATGATCACAGGCCCTTTTATTATGTGTATTATATCGTGTTATTAACTGATTTTGTGATCTGTGTATATTTAAGTACCATTTATTTTAAGAAACATATTTCCAGTCAAAGGGCCCTTAATTAATTAATCAAAATTAATTTGGAACAAATTTCCAAATATTCTGGTAGAGTATAATTGTATAAACCAGGGATTCCCAATCCTGGCAACTTTTAAGACATGCGGGCTTCAACTCCCAAAATTTCCCAGCCAGCCATGCTGGGGTTGGGGAATTTTGGGAGTTGAAGTCCACCCGTCTTATAAAGTTGCCAAGATTGGGAAGCCCTGGTATAAACTATAGTTAATACAGATATAATAGCATATTGGGTTGTTTGAACTCAGGAGAGGGAATAGAACTATATTATGATAGGAAGAAACATCAAAGCATATAGCACAATCCGAGCAGTCCAAACATGATGTAGCCATTCATTAAGAATCAAGCCTAGACTTACTGCACTTAAAGTTATGTAATAATTTATATTTTTAAAGTAGAAACCGCTAAGTCCAGCAGTTATTTTCTTCACAGCACAGGGGAAAAAAGTGCATCTGTTAGCAAAATTTATCACTTTCCATTTTAAAGAAATGATCTGACATAGTGAGGAAACAGTGGAACCACATGAATTCAAGGAAGTTAGCATTGCATTTAAGCAGGAATTGCTTAGTAATATTAAAGTCACAACCATTATCTTTAGCATAATTTTAAATCTTTGCTGAACATAACATTAGCACTATAAAAGAAAGGAGTGAAGTGATTTCCAAAACTCATTAAATAAACCATTTCAACATAAACTAATCTAACCCCTCTTGATGTTAGATATAAATATATTAAATATAAATAATGTGTTACTATGCTGAATCTACTGTATTTCAGCCAGCTTTATTAAAATACCAACTTTATAAATGGTGTCCTAAGACAGTTGTGGAAAGCATTGTTGGCAAATAATTATATGAAAGTGATTTTACTGTACATATATTGATTATTTATTTTAGAATTGCTTTGCCTATAACATTTTATAGTAAGATTTAATAAAATATATGCATATCATTAGGAGATTTGCAGTTTGCCATCTTTTTTTGGGGCAGGACTAAATGTTTCTGGGAAATATGTGCCACATTTGACTATTTGTGGGAAAGCAGATGAAAGTGAGAGATGTTTCATTTTTCTATTTCATTTTGTTTTTATAGCATTACTGTCATTCAATTCTCTATTTCGTTATTCCAAAATTATAATTACTTTCACTATAGTATTTTCTCCACATGGAGAAAAGCGCTTTACAGATTATAGAATAAAACAAAGTGGCAGATTGAAATAGATTAAGCCATCCCTGCTTGCCACTGCCTCTCTGCTCCAATTAATATTCCTATGCCCCATTGCCTTTTCAAGCACAATATTCTGCTAGAATTTCTTACAAATGTTTGCTTGTAATGTAATTCTGCATGTCTTGTTTTCATTGCTGTTCCTAATACTGCTTGGAATGCATGCTCCGTTTTAAATATATTTCTTCAGCAGTACAGGTACTTTTCGACTTACAACTACCGCTGGGACTGGAATCTTGGTCATTGAGTGAAACCGTTGCTAAGCAAGACACCCACATGGCTACAATTTTGGCATTCGTCGTTGCAGTGGTTAAGCGATCTGCCAGGTTGTTAAGCAGACAGACGAAAGAGCTGCCTGCTGAGTTCAGCTCCCCTCTGTGTGTAGAAGGGAACTGCTGCAGAGGACTGCAGAAACACAGCTTTGCGATCTCCACCTCGCTAGAAGAAGAGAACTGCTTCAATGGGCTGCAAGAACAGAGTTCTTTCCTGACTGGAGCAGTTCCCTTCCACACATGGAAAGTTCCCTTCCACACATGGAAAGCAGACAAACTCCAATGAGGTGCAGAAAAGGAGCGCAGATCCTGAAGAGCCCAGGTTCGTTCCTGCAGCCCACTGGAGGAGTTCATCTTCCCTCCATGCATGGAGGAGAACTCCTTCAAATGGCTGCAGTAGTGGAACTTTGATCTTCAGGATCTGACCTCTCTTTCTGCAGCCCTTCAGAGAGTTTCCCTCCCCTGTGTACGTGGAAAGAAACTTGTTCGAAGGGCTGCAGAAACGGAGCTCAGATCTTTGGGAATTGAGCTCCATTTGTGCAGTCCCTTGAGGAGTTCCCCCTCAAAAGAGCTGACTGTTGGGAGGAAATCTCAGCTCCACAGCAGCACCTTGCAATCTTCCCTGCTGACTTCCCATTGACTTTCTGGGGAAACTGTCAGAAGACTTTGTAAATCAGCGGTTCTCAACTTATGGGTCGCGACCCCATTTGGGGTCGATCGACCATTTCACGGGGGTCGCCAAGAAAGGCTGTCCGCCATTTTTTTCCCCTTTTCCGGCGGGTGCCTTACCTCCCTTGGGCTGGGCCAGCTGGTGGTCAGCCTGCTCCGTCTCTGCCGCTTGCCAGCTATGCCTCGGCCGGCGCAGGGGGCTGAACCACGCATGCGCGGCGCTCCCGGGCAGGGAAAGTCCTCGACTTACGACTGGTTTAGTCCTCGACTTACGACCGGTTTAGTCCTCGACTTACGATCGGTTGGGTAGTCCTCGACTTATGACCGGTTTAGTCCTCGACTTATGACTGGTTTAGTCCTCGACTTACGACCGGTTGGGGGTCACGGCATTAAAAAGGTTGAGAACCACTGTTGTAAATGGTGATAACGTGAACGTGATCGATCACAGGGGTACTTGACAATTGGTCGTAAGTGCGAACAGGTTGCCAAGCACCCAGATGGCAATCACTTGATCAGTGGAGGGGGGCATTTTAAAGTGTTTTACAGGCCATTCTTTTCGAGGTTATCATAACCTCAAACAGTCATTAAATGACCAGTCGTAAGTTGAGGACTACCTGTATAAGCTTTCAGTTGCATAGGATCAAAATTTCAAAGAAAGTTTCAAGGTTAACCTTGATTGTCCTAATGTGCCAACGCTATTAGTTTGAAATATGTTCTCGACTGTTTTTCATTGTAGTCAAACTGTTGGATTTGCTTTCGAAAAATATATTAGAAATTGTACCTATACTTTCAATTTACCTTAGGATGGCCTTCCTATTGTGAGTGACCACGATGTGAAAGTGCAAGTTAAAGCCTGTGCTCTTAGCTGGATTGATAAAAAGGTATTTGATATATGTATATATATATATTTATAAATTTGTCAAATGGTTATAAATTTATTCTTCTGTGAATAAAGTCTCATGCAAGTTCATGCAAACAAGTTTAATATCTTGACCATCTTATCTATCATATACACTCATATATGAATCACAGCACAGTTCTAGACATAGGAAGTTTTTCCTTTGTTCGGTGAGCTTACTACAAAGCTTGAAACTTGTAGGTACTTTGCTTAACTTTAATCCTTCGCCTTTTTCCTGCTAGATAAATTGGTCTGAGTTTTTAAATGTATTTACTTATTAAATTTTTACACTATCCATCTTACTCTCTAAGTGACTCTGAGTGGTTTACGAGTAAAAAAAATTATAAAAACCATAAGATCCTTACAAAAAGCAACAAAAGTTGAAAATAGTGCCTTCAAGCCACTAACCATCCCCAGGGTTGTATGTTGTTCTTGGATCCCCCTGCCAGTTGAGGGAGCCAGGTCTTAACGCTCTTCCAAAAGACGATGGGAGTGGGGGTTAACCTCACCTCAGGGGGCAAAATATTCCATAAAGTAAGGGTAACAGCAAAGGAGATTTTCGTAGACCCCTCCAGTTAGAATTCTTTAACTAACAGAGTCCATAATATGTTCTTACTGTCTGACCGGATGAGATGGGTTGATATAATTGAGACAAAATGGTCCTTCAGGCAACCTTTTACTTTGTCAAATATATAAAATGTTACATCAAGGAAGAAAAATAATACTGTATCCCAAGGCTCAAATATTAGCTTCTATGTCATAATAGTGAATAGGCAAGAACTTTGCAATGGTCTATTGTACACATGATAATTGATTCACTTAGTACATATATGTTACTTCAGACTTTCACATGATTACCATTACACATACATCGGCACTAATACAGGTTTATGTGAGTGCTGCATGACTCTACTGAAATTAAGCACTCTTTGGGGTACATTATCTTGTCCCGTTAGTTCGATTGGCAGTGTGTACATATGGCATTCAAAAGTATATGTTCAGCATAAAAAGTCATATATTTTATGTTTTAATATTGATTTTAATAATTAAAATATAGAATAGAAACTTTAAAGATAATTACAGATAAATACTTGTTTCTAAGCTTACACAGCTTCCTTTTAAACACAATAAAATTGAAAATATATATGTATTACTTTTATGATAGCACAGTGGTTAGAATGCAGTTTTACAGATTAATTCTGCTGACTGCCGGCTGCCGGCAGTTTGATTCTGACCGGCTCAAGGTTGACTCAGCCTTCGATCCTTCTGAGATCGGTAAAATGAGGACCCAGATTGTTGGGGGCAATATGCTGACTCTGGAAACCGCTTAGAGAGGGCTATAAAGCACTGTGAAGCAATATATAAGTCTAAGTGCTATTGCTCTTTTAGTTGAACTTTCAAGTGTTTACAATTTATAAAATTAAATTGTTTTTGCAATGTAATTATTATGAAAACTAAACTCTGACACCAAGTTTATAGTTTCAAGAATGCTAGACTTACAGTTTAGTGCATAACTTAGAAGGATTTCTTTATGTTCAACATTTGCTTTATGGAAAAAATGCATTTTATTGCAGCCTTAGACTCCATTATTTTTTTTCCAAATAATCAGGGTCTCATTTTTGTTAGTAGAAGGAATCCATATTAGCATTTTACTGCTCCCTATGCAGATGTACTAAACTTGACAATTGACCTTCTGTTATTGTCATAAGTTTTTATCAGAAATAAAAAAAGAGAAGAAAGTTCTACCTGTTGGAAGGGAAATTGCTGGTGTTGTGTTGGAAAGTAAGTATACTAATTTGCATAATATTTCTATAAAATATTGAAGTATTTATATACTAAAATTACCAGTCCCTATGTTCAGTGATCCTCTTACAGATCCTATTACACTCTCAGAACCTACAACACTCCAGAATTACAACTGAATTACAACTCCTAGGCTACTAGAAGTTGCAATTCTGCAATATTTAAAGGACCACAGATTCCCCACCACAGCTCTAATATAATAAAAAATGTATGCCAACTGAGAGGTATTTTACTTTTAGCAGACTTGAATGTTAAAGGCTTATCAGAATTAAAGTGCAGGATCATTTTATTTGAGAGCCGCTTAAAATTCATTTTTTGTCCTGTGTAAAAGTTTGCATTAATGCTGCAGTGGAGACAGTACTTGCCACAATCATGCAAACATAAACCATGTTTTATAAATGACAGTAAGATATTTCTACAACGTATTAGGCCATAATTTAAAGAAGCCATGTGACAGTTTACCATGATAGGTTCACCTAATGAGATTGAGTGAGGAAGTTTGATTGGAAATTTAATTTAAAACATGTGCCAATTATCATTTAACATATAAGCCAATAATTTCTAGGATATTTTTTCATTAAATTCATTCTCAAACATCCAATTCTTTTTATATTTACAAACTAGTTTGTCTATATAAATGCATACATTGAAATGTTTGAGAATAATGGAGATTGAAAAGACATTTATTTTTTTTTTAATTTGACTATTTCTTTTCCTTAATTCCTTAGGCTAGGACTGCCAGACTTTTGACTAGCAAATCAGTAGTAATGAACTGTATTCTGGGAGATGTCTGTGGAGATCTATAGAACTGTATTCAGGTAGATTTTGCAGTCCCAGACAAATAACATAAAACTGCAGTAAATTGCTGTTCATATAGTAGATTGTCTTAGTTCACATGTGCACCTAGAAAATGAAGTTGGATACAGAAACACCCAACTTGAATTAAAATACATTATCTTGATTAACTGAATTTATTTTGTTTATTGCTTGCATATTGTTGATTGATCTGTGGATCTGATTGTTTTGAAGCTAAATATATGAAATGGGTATATAAATTTAATAGTCTTTTTTCCAGTTTTTATTCTTGGGAATGTAATGTCTGGACTTCCTTCCCTTTTTAGTCTTCTATTAAATTCTATTTCAGAGAAAGTTTTTTTTTTCTTGCCCTTCTCAGTAATTTTTAAAACTGCCTATAGTTATCATGTTGTGGATTGCATAATGTATTAGAAGACTTTATAATAAATTATTATTAACAGTAACATTGTTTTAAGTACCATAGTTCTTTTATGTGTTTTATTGTTCCTTTTTTTCCCTTTCTTCCAGTTGGAAATAAAGTGTCTTCTTTTAAGCTTCAAGATGAGGTAGTAGGTAAGTTTATCTAATTAACTAAAATGTTTAAATTGTAAAAATTTACCATTTTTAAAAAAAATCTTATTTTAACATTCAGAATGAGTATTTGTCTGAAATAGATACAACACTGTAGATAAAACATTCATCTTGATCACAGAATTTTTTCTCAACAATGGCAATTACAATTTTTCCCATCTGAATATATCTTTTTAAATGTCATTCCATACCATGGCATAATTATTTTGAATCAGCGTGCAATTCATATTAGTAAATCCTCAAATGTTTAACCTTTTTCTACATTTTAAACCAGGTTAAACTGCCATTTTCCCCACTGAAAGCCAGATCCAGAAATGCTGTTCGATATATCATAGACCAAAGAGCTTTTCACTCCCTTAATTGTTATGAAGATTTAATTTAGAATTCAGAGGTCACATCTCTCAGACATATATTGGCTGCTCTTACAATGTTTTTTTTTCCAGTATGAGAACTGGGTTAGACACTAAAATTATAGCTAACAGAGGTGTGTGAACCATTTGGAGGCACACTTTGTAAGATAGTCTTCTGAACATGCTGCTTCTAGCATCAAGTTCTTACATTAGTTCAAAGGTTTGGCACGGTCACTTTGAGCACCTTTGAATAAAATTTCATCATATGTGGCTATGCACAGAAAACACTTATTGGCAACCTCAAAGGTGCTTTTTCCAAACTGTTGTGTTGGTTGAGAATCCTCCTGAGTTTTTCCAATATTCCTGCAACATATAGAATGACGATGTTGCTCTGTTTGTTCTCTACCTTTTCTGTTATAAAGGAGCTCCTGCTGGATCTTTTTATGGATTTGATGAAGGCCACAAGTTAGGGTAGGATAGCCACAAGTTCTGAGGGCTTCCGTGATGTGTTTTTGTTCTTTGGTAGGCAAATCTTCAGCCCAGGTGTAGCGTTATATAAGTACTCCCAGTTTCTGCTCCAGTGGGTGTTGAGAATCCCGAAATGGCTCAAAATTAAAACACAGGAAGTGGAAGCCTTCACCAAACCCATCCATACTGTGGACAGCAGCATTAAGTTCACATACGAAGACGCTAAGGAAAATAGTCTAGCCCTTCTTGGACTGTTCAGTACACATCAAGGAAGACAGAAGCCTCAACGATGAAGTATACAGAAAAGCCACACAGATCAGTATTTACATTTGGATTCTCATCATCCACTGGATCACAAACAGAGAGAATCAGAATCCTATACCACCAAGCTAAAGATAAACCCCCAAGTGGCCTCAATAACTCTCAAAAAGCTAACGACCAACCCTTAGAGTGTTAACAACTAAATGACTGCAAAGAATATAAATCCTTTCATCCCCCACCAGTCAGTTAGAACTGAAAAAGCTTCTTGGATGAAAAGAGAAACTTTTCAAAGAAAAAACAACAAGGTCCAGTTGCCCTTTGGAAAAAACACTTTTGGGACAACCATGACCTGGATGATTGAGAATCTCCATAGACATTTACTGGCAACAACTCCAACATATATATAGGCATATACATGCCTTCTCAGCTCACAAAAGGAGGCCCCTAGATCAGCTGTCCTGACCTTCGAGAAGACATAGTTCTTTAATACTTTAACCAGCACATTCAGTCCTAACAGCAAATACCCCATTACTGTATGTTTTGTTCATAGTTGGGTTGTTGGATTTGTATAATAATCTTGAGCACAGTGGAGAAATTTTGTCACTTTCCTCCCTGGCCTTAGCTTTATTGGTAATTCTCCTTCTAATGTACCTATATTACTTTTTTTTTTGCCCTATTAATCCCTATACTATAGTTATGTGGGAAGACTAAAGTTTTGCAATAAAATGCTGACAAGGAAAGAAAGTATTGAACTTCTCTATATTGGAAGAAATCTTAAAAACCGAATTCCTTGTCTACAGGGAAAGAAATCAAAGATTGTGACAATCACTTTATAGTAATTTTTCATTTGCATCTAATTGTATTAGGAATCTGTTTTTATTAAAAATTCATTCCAAGTTAAGAGATACTGTAAATGAATCAAAATAATGTGTGCCTATGAGACTGAAGCAAATGCTATAAAAATACTTTAAATGATAGCAATCTTTAATGATGGAGAAGCAAGACAAATATAGGAAAAGGCCCTAAACTAATCTTGCAAAATCCTCAAAGTTTCAAAGTCAGTGCATAGATGTATTTATACAAGGGAGAAACATGGAAAGAAGCAACATAATAGCCCATCTGGATCTTTCTTAATGTCCTTCTTCAAATATTAAGAATCACTGCAGACTGTTAGTCTTAAACCAAAGATGAGCAACTAGATGACCATGGCTCCTTATGTCCTTGTAAACTCTGTGTGACATCTGCTTTAGATTATTTCAATTAAAAAACATGAAAGTTGGCACATCAAATAGGCATTTTTAAAAATAGTGACTGCAATTTGGTGATTTGTTGGCCTATCTTCCTTTAATAAAAAGTAAAGGTAAAGAAGTGGTAGAGAAAATCCTGGAAAGATAGATGAATGGAGACAACCATCTCACTAGTTTGTCTTCTTGAATTTGGGATTATGATTGGCTCACATTCATGGAACACTATTTTATGATCACAGAAGCACCCCCTCCCATAATAACAATTTTATAAGAGTGTGTTTTAATTATACTCCATGTTTTATTTTAATGTGTTATTTTACAGAATATGATTATTCAAGAAAGAACTAAATGGGGGGATTTTTGATTCAGATTATTTATGTCTACATCGGGCAAATTACACTAAGCTTCTTAGCTATTCACATTCAGGTGCATTACATGGAATTCAAAGGTGTGCAGGTCAATGATTGTGCTTGGATGTTGTTCAGCTGATTATAATCTTGTCTTAAGCTGGAGGAAATCCTGTTTTCATAGGAATTTTACCATTGGACTCAGAAGAATCTGGATTGTGTGAAGAGATTCTAGTTCATGAGCATTATTTAGGTATGTAGGTAGAAAACAGTAATACATTACTGTTTCTGAAATGTAACTGCCTAAGGTACTCAAAAATTGTTCAATTTGTGAATAAACCTTGTTTAACGCGAAAACATTATCATCTTAGATCAAAACTTTATCATTTGACTTAAATAATAGCAGTAGTAGTTATTATTCTCTTTAAACAGAAACTACAAAAGCTGAGTCATCTGTTTCTGATAAACTTCTTTTATTACTTCACTCACTCTTCCTTCTGACTAATCCTGAAGCAAGCATTTCATCCTAGGTTTTTTTAATATGTTATTCTAAGATGTTCTTGGTTTCTTTTGGAAGCATTTACTAATTATTAAGAAGGAAAATAGCCAAATCTTCCCTTTGTCCTTCCCAAAAATCACAACGGAGGGTAGGGGGTGGGACAGAACATTGAGTTGGGTCTGGAATTAAGGTTATTATTATTATATACAGTATGCTCAACCATGGTAAATATATTAAAGTTATATTGTAGAAAAACATATTTGGAAATCTTCCACATTGCAAAACATGCCCAATTCATAAAAGACATAAAATTTCAATTGCAAAATTTATTCCACAGTTGGAAAATGTGCCCCATTACAAAGATTTGCTTTGAAATACGGAAATATTTGCATTTCGATTTGGAGCTATCTTTGGAGATCTGTAAGTGTTGTATATACTGCAGATCATATAAATATATAGAATTTACAGGAAAATATGAAGTTTCATATAGTCATATGGCATGCATAGGTTTGTATAATACTTGGATTTCAGTTTGCCCTTATATTTCTATAATTTTGAAACTGGTTTGGAACATCTCCAATCAAATTTCATATTAAATTTTGAATGTAACGTCTAGATTCACAATATTAAACTGCATTGTTTCTTAACGTACATATTTTGAAGCCTAACTTAGCACTCAAAACAATTTAATCAATAATAATACAAATTGTTGTTTTATAAAACAATTTACTCAGTTACTTTTGATTTTTTTTTCAAATGTTCATGCCTTGACATTTATCATTGTCAAATCAACATTATTCTAAAAACTCTCTGGTAGTTGATCAGCTAAAACCAATTTAATCAAATGGTTAATAGAGAAACAAATGAAGAAGGGAAGATTTGAATACTTTTGTGTGATAATGATTTCATAGGTATAGCAAATTGAACATTTCATTTTAGTTTTTTTGTTTAGATCAATATACAGGTAGTACTCGACTTACTACCACAACTGAGCCCAAAATTTCCATTGCTAAGGAAGACAGTTGTAAAGTGTCAGTTTTGTTCCATTTTATGACCTTTCTTGTCACAGTTGTTAACTGAATCTCAGTTGCCCATTGACTTTGCTTGCCAGAAGGTCGCAAAAGGTGATCACGTGACTTGGGACATTGCAATTGGCATAAATACATGCTAGTTGCCAAGCCTCCAAATGTTGATCCCATAACCATGGGGACGCAGCAACGGTCATATGTGTGAAAAATGGACATAAATCACTTTTTTCAATGCTGTTGAAACTTTGAATGATCACTAAACAAATGATTGTTAGTCAAGGACCATCTGTATGCTTCAACACTGCTATAAAGTCTATCACCAAACTTTCTTCTTTGTGAAACAGTTCACAAACCTGAAAAAATCTCCTGGATTGAATCAGCTGGGACCATTCATGACGGTCTTCGTGCATATACAGCTCTACATTATCTCTCTTATGTTTCTGATGGAAAGAACGTGTTGATAATGGATGGTGCAAGTGTATGTATAAAAATGCCATTGAACTTAAGAATACTGAAAGCTATTTATTAGAAATAGATTCAATGGGTTAAATCCAATGCTGTTAAAGCAGCCTTCTGTTCACACAACTGGAATTATTCTTGTTCTTTTTTCCAAATGATCACCTTAGTCTGTGCTACTTAAATGAACACCTTAATCAATGCCTCAATCTCTGCTACTTAAATGGATGGGGGGGGGAGAAATAGGCTACTAATATCTATTTGGCTATGGAGAGGACTATTATAGGGTGATTCTGTAAATTCCAGTAAAATCTGGCATGCTTTTTTTTTTCACCAAAAATTAAATTCCACTAATTTCTACAACATTATATTTCTTACCCTTGCATTTCAGCCAAGCAAAATACAGTACAGGTATTTCTGTTGCTAAGCAATACAGAAAATCAAGTACAGCATTGGAATGGGATGCAGTAATTCAACTTACCAATAAGATTTTTGAATTATAGTTATAGATTTTTGAATCACAAGTGTCACCTGATAATGATTTTTAAAAAGTACCTGTTTTGTGGCTTTATCAACAGAACCACAAGTTTCAAAAACATGGAGAAGCAATAATGTCACTTAATTTGCATCTGTCTGTGTGCGTGTTTGGATGGATGGACAGAAATATGAATAGTATGGGTCCATAGTATGGCACCTGGTGAAAAGGCATGATCTTTTTTATATCGGTTGTCAGTCACCTAAGATCACTATGTTAATTGGCTGACCATAAAACTTCTTTAAATAAATTAAAGTTTTAAAAATCTCAAAAGTCAGAATCTCATACGTTAAGAAGAATGTAGGCAAATTGGAATGGATGCAGTGGAAAGTAATGAAAATGTTCAGAGCTAAGAAAAATTATTCCAGTGGGGAAAAGTTGGAAGGAACAGGGCAATATTTACTTTGGAGAAGATAAAAGTGAAATCATTCTGGTGCTTTTTTAAATATTGAAGAGTTGATACATTAAAAAGATGGAGAAGGCTTGTTGTGTGCTGTCCCAGAATACAGGATTAAAACCAATGAGTGATATAGGAAAAAAAGATTTTAACTGAATTTTTGGAACAATGGAACTAGCTTCTGGATAATGTGTAGGTTTTCTTTTGCTAGCATGTCATGCAGAAACATTTCTCAAGGCATCTTTTATGTTCCTTTATGCTGCTAAAAATGAAGAAAAGTATAAATTTCAAGGTTTCTGAAGTTCCAGATAGAACAGAAAAGTAAACACATAAGTCTAAGATTCTTTTACACTGAATGTAGGATTTGAAAGATTATTTTTTTCAATAGGCTCTAATGCAGCTAGATAATAGATGTATAAATACAAGTACATAACCATTTGATTTTTCTACAGCCATTTGGTACAATAGCTATTCAGTTAGCACAACACAGAGGAGCTAAAGTGATTTCTACTGTGTATAATCTTGAAGACAAACAGTGTCTGGAAAGGTCTGTTTCTCCTGTAGGTAAGTTAAATTGTTTTATATTAAACTGCATGAAAAAACCCAATTCAGACCATTTTTTAAATTTATAAATGTTCATAAGCTCGCAAGGGTTGGCATCTAGGAAACTGAAATAGAGTATTATTCTACATCATCTATCCAAACTATATCTTTCAGATACATCCTACATTTATGCACATACATTACCAACATTTTAGCATCTGGTCAGAATCACCCATAATGTAAACTATATATGTTAACTTCACTGACTAAATTTTGACGATATGCAGCATAAAAGAATTTAAATATCAGATAAACAAAAATATTAATACCTAGAATTCAATCTTTGAATATAATTTATACTATCTAACAATGAATTTTCATATCTGTTCTAAAAAAAGGAATTGGGATGTAGCAATTCTGTTCAATGATTACATATAGCTATAGTACTAAGGCAAAAAGATAGATTAGCTACTACATTCAGTATAATTATGAATGCAGCATTTTGAAGAAGAGAGAACTCAGCTGTACATCTCCACCCCAGGCCACCCCAACGATGCCCTTGACGTGATGACCCGTGATGACCCGTTGCCTGGAGGCCGTACGGGTCTGGATGGGGAGGAACAGACTCAGACTCAACCCTTCCAAGACCGAGTGGCTGTGGTTGCCGGCGCCCCGGCATAGCCAGCTGACTCCATCGCTGTCTATAGGGGGCGAAACTTTGGCCCCCTCAGAGAGGGCTCGCAACTTGGGTGTCCTCCTGGATCCGCGGCTG